TTCCATCAGAATTCTGTTATTGTTCTTAGACAGGTGATCGCCAAACAATAGAAATTATGATAAAATTAGAAATATAACAGCTAACAAGCACGGAAAGATTTAAATGTAGCGTAAAGCATAAATCTGATCTTGTTATTTTCCTGCTTAAGAAGTTTCAATGGCAATAAGTTCATATCCCTTTAGCCAGGCTTTCAAAATTCTTGTTGTCTGGCTTCTGCCTACTACTTCCTGCCTCATATCTTATCACCCCCCATCCTCCTACCCACACCCCCTTCTGTGCTGTAGCCCTAAAAAAACTGCTTGCCAGTCCCCAGATGGGACATTCTCCTACCACACTCTCCTCCTCTGAATGTTCTCATCATTTTAATCTTCCTCCAGACACACACACAACACATACATACACACACGCACACACACACACACATATACACTTTGGCCACCACTCCCTCCCTTGCCAAGTTCCTACTCATCCTTCAGGTCTCCATTTAAATGTCACTTCTGCAGAGACCTTCCCTGACCCACCAATCTCAATCCTGACCCTTGCCCACTCTCTTTTCTCAGCATGCTCCTCCAGAACATGTACCACAGTTTGCAATATGGCCTTGATCTGTGACACGATTTGGTTAACATCTGCTTTCTCTGTAAGTGTGCAGTCTTCATGAAGGAAGACGCCATGTCTTGTTTTTGCTCACCTTTGCTCAACTAGCACTGAGCACGATGCCTGGGATGTAGCAGGATCTCAATAAATATTTGTTGAAGGAATAAATGAATAAATGAGACCTTAGCCTGGAAATATACAACTACCTGCTGGCAGCAGACCTGGCATGTCCCACTTGGGGTGAGCAAAGCCCCCAAGGCTTTACATGATCCTTGAGCTAGTCCCTGGTGTGGGTCCATCTGACTGGCCATGACCAGGGCTCCCAGCTTCCGGTTCCTGTAAGGTTCTGCACTCTGCAGTGGCAGGCTCCCACCTTCAGCCCGCAGGAGCTGCCCCAGTGCCTGTCACTAGACTGGCCATGACCAGGGCTCCCAGCTTCCGGTTCCTGTAAGGCTCTGCACTCTGCAGTGGCAGGCTCCCACCTTCAGCCCGCAGGAGCTGCCCCAGTGCCTGTCACTAGACACTGCACCCTACTTACCTTATCTCTCCAGAAACACTGTTTTGCCAAGAACTAAAAGGAAGAGAAAGTTAAACCAAAACAAAACAAAAAACAAATCCCAAAAGCCACAAGGAAGATTTTTCCAGGACATTATTTCTTGGACTAAAACCAAGAGATACTATTTTTGACACCTCTGTTTTGTTTCTCAGTGATATACAAAGATGTTTTAGGCTTCTACGCGCTGCCCTCTCTCACTCCCTTGTGACAAGTTGCTTTGATAATCAACAGTTTCTGTACAATGATGCATATCCTGGCAAATCGTATGCCTTAACAAAAACTTCATCACAAATTGTTCACTGTGTCAAGTAGCTCATTATATTTTGACAATAGCGTTTCCATTAGGATTTTAGAATCCTATAGGATCCCTTATTAAAATGCTGCTACCTAGAGTCTCTCAGGGTTTGAATTAGTATGCTTGAGACATCCCATGGTGCAGCATCCTCCAACATATTAATCCTAAATTGAGCTGGGAATCAGGGTTGTCTCTTTAAATATGGGCACTTGCAGAAATACCCTGTAGAGCTGAAAATAATTTTAAACACTAAATACTTGAATAAATATAACTAAGTAGCTTTTATCATGTTTTCATGTGAAAGTTTATTCTATGGGGGAACCAAAGAGCTAATCAAAATACTACTAAATTTGTGATCCTGTACTTACTGGGAACAAAATACCATATAGAAATATGTTTCTTTGATAATTGTAACATTATTTACTCAGTGCTTACTATGTGCTGGGTATTTTTCTAAGCCTTATGCATGTGTTAACTCATTTAATCATACAACAGACCTAAGAGGAAGACACAATAATTATTTTCATTGTGCAAATGAAGAAAAAATTCAAGGAATTGCTCAAAGCCACACAGCTAGGAAAAGGCCTAGCCAAGTTATGAGCCGAAGACTGTGAGCTTAACTACTCTTCCATCTCCCCAATGTGTAGGTCCAGGCAAATAATCATTTTCTATTCCCAAATTCTCATATATATTTTATTATATTTAATATTTTGTTATGCAGCCTATAACTTTATGAAAGATAATGCTAAATTTGTATCCTTCCTGGATGTTAACTATTGCTAATAAATAGCTTGGCATAGTGATGTAATTGAGTCAGGATTTAAAATCTAGTTCTACCACTTACCAGTAAAATGACCTTGGGAATGTTCCTTAAGCTTCTGAGCCCATCTGCTGTTTTGTTTTTTATTTTTTTTAGAGACAGGGTCTTGCTCAGTTACCCAGGGTGGAGTGCAGTGGTCTGATCATAGTTCACCACAACCTCGAACTTCTGAACTCAAGCAGTCCTCCTGCCTTGGCTTCCCAACATGCTGGGATTACAGGCATGAGCCACCGTGCCCAGCCTGCAAGCTGCTGTTTTGTAAAATGGGGATCATTACTGCTGTTATAAGAAGAAAATGAGATAAACATATACAAATTGCCTGGGATATAGGTGATCAATAATATTTCTAGGTACAAGTATGTAAGGACACTAAGAAATGACATTAATTCTCATGAAAAAGAAGGTTCCATCAATAAATTACTAATTTGATGTCATAAACCATTTTCTATTCACTAAAAATAGTTTATATAGTTCCCTAAGAGTTCCAGTTGTACCAAGGGATAATAGCATTTATCAGAAAATTATATTTCCAGCCAAATCGAAATTTGTATGTGCAGTCACAAAGCTACATTAAAAAACTAGTGATCAAATTGACAATTATATGAGTGAACAAAATTAAATAGACAGACAGATAGAAATGTGGACGTTTCACTAATTCCATTCCCATTCTGTAGAATTCTGCTTTCCCCAATCTCTCCGTTAGACCCCTCTGTATGTTTATGTGCATAGACCAGTAAGGGCACCTATGCAAGGCACATGAGCTTCGCTGGGCACCAGCTTCCAAGTAGTGTTTATGGCTAAGGAGAGTTTGGATTGAGGTTGTTAGAGAATCCTGTCATGGCTTATCTTCTATACAAGAAATGTGTTCTGTTTAATCCTCCCACAACCAGCTAAAGAGCTACAGGTATGTGCCATTCCCTGTGACCACCTCCCATCATAGATGATCAGATCTTATTTAGCCACCAGACATAAAGACAGCCATTGTAGAGACTTATGTTGTGTGTGCTGGCTCAATTCCAGTGCTCTCTTGGAGATTTGATTCTAACACACGGAGAGACTGATTCAATTGTCAAGGGAGGGAAGTAAGAGATGCCTGAAGCAAGTTGACAGGGCTAGAGGGACTGAGAAGTCACAAAGCAATGAGTAAAGTCAGAAGTAAAAATAAAAAAGATCAGATGTGTAGAGAGAAGCAGATGGAGAGAGAGAGAGTGAGATTCCTAGACTGCTTTGATTTAGATTGGGTTCCAGTTGCAGTTCCAATTTACCTGTATCTTTCCGCTAGACCTTCCAACACTTGCCTGTCTGTTTGCACACAGGAGGCTGAATGAAATCCACAATATGAACTTGAGACTAAGGAGACACACTGACATTGCCCATTGTTATACTCTTATTAGCAGAAAATGAGGGCCTGTACATTCTGATGTCCTTGGCACCCACCTGATTATCCTCCCCAAAGAGGAGGATGCAACTGCTAATGCTGCTAACAGTAGACCCTCAGGACAGACCACCAGGACTGAAAAGGACCCATGTCTTCCCTTCTCCACGGTGGTGGAGGAAGATTCAAACTCCAGGGAGGGAGCCTGAGCTGCCAAAAGTGCAGCTGAAATTAGTGGGAAGCAGAGTGAGAACTCCAGATGTTTAGAATTAGGATGACTATAAACAAATTCATTTCCCAGATCCACCAAGCTTGCTTTCTAAAATTATTTTTATATCTGGTAAACAAATCCATATTCTCTTTTCTTGGTTGCAAATGGACTAATTCTTTAGGGAATGATAATACTCAAACTGGTTAACACAGTTTGCTATTCTTCCTCCAGAAATTATAGAATTCACACATCAATGTAATTCTCTCAACAAGTGTTTTAAAAACTTGGGGATTAAGTATAAACACTGCCATAGGCAATGACTCTTGGAGACTGGTTTTATGCACACCTGTTACCTAGTTATTTTTCTGTTTGTTTTGCCAGCTTTAGCATCTGAATGTTACTTTAGCCATGAATACTCTTCACTGTGGCACATCATGACATCAAATTTGATACTCCTGTCATGGGCGGGGAGGGGAGGGATAATAGAGTGGCTGCTTTTACCAGTTGCAGATGGTGATCTGAGTTCAGGCCTCGGACTTTCACCTGTGCATCTATCACCAAGAAATGTCCGCCCCTGTATAATTATTGCCTCTTCATCACTAAGTTGAAATAAAAGAAGTCTTCAACTAATCTGGAGCACATATTTAAAATTCTCATTACTATCTCCACTGCACGAATTTGTCATATAACTATTCATACTTGGATATCACCGTAGCATGTACAAACCAGTGTGTAGCAAGTTCAAAGCCTCTTTTTGATGGGTCACAATAGATATGCCCCTCTGATTGCTTTCCATACCGCATAGGAAAAGCATCTTTCCTTCACACTCAGCAACCACATTTCTTTGGAATCTATGGTCAGTGTTTAGAATCCATTAAAAAAAGAAAGAAAAGGAATTTTTAGAAAAACCTCAGGAAGCTTCTCTGCTCAACAGGTTCAAGCAACCTTAATAATCATGTAATGTTTGATTCACTCCTCCCCAGCATGCTCACACACACACACACACACACACGCACACGCACACGTGCGCACACGCACATGGGATCCTTGACTTTGTGTATATATAAGAAGCAATTGTGAAATGGTTGGTGTTGGAGTTGCAAGCTACTTATAACAGTCCTAAAACCAAAACATTGATTTTGCAGGGCCGTTGTTCAAGAGAGAACTGCAAGTATCTTCACCCTCCGACACACTTAAAAACTCAACTAGAAATTAATGGGAGGAACAATTTGATCCAGCAAAAAACTGCAGCAGCGATGCTTGCCCAGCAGATGCAATTTATGTTTCCAGGAACACCACTTCATCCAGTGGTGAGTACATCTTATCTAATGATGGGCTGGCTGATTAAAGTGTTGAATGGGCAATGCCACGTTGACCCAAGATGACCTCCCTCCACTTTGTCACTTTGGTTACAATATTAAGGCAAATAGCTTTGAAGTTCAATAGATGCTGGAAAATACGTTTTGTTTTTTTTAATTTTTAACGAAAAAATATTTGTGGAAACAGGAGGCAAAGACAATTTCTGATCAATATCCGGAGAATCTGCGTCATTCCAAGTCTTTCTCATTAGTAAACTCTGTATCTGAACCATCTTAGAACAGAAATAGTTCTACATTTTCATTTAGAGTGTGAATTGATAATCTATGTATCGAAGAGAGGTTGCAATGCCTAAAATACTTTTAGCGATGTACCAAAGAGATTATTTAGTTCAATGGCACCATTTTAAGGATGAGGAAAGTGAGAAACCAGAGAATTTCAATGATTTCCCCAATGCTATGCAGCTAATAAATTGTGGAGCTGGGACTTAACTCAAGCATGCTAGCAAGAGCGCTTTCCACGGTCCACTCCAACCAGAGCTTGACAATGGCCCTCAAGGAAGGATGGCAAAGGCAGCTCGAGGAAAAGCAATCCTGCCGGAGTCACTTAGGTCTCCTGTCTCTCAGACACCTGCAAAGGGTGTGGCAGTTGTGACAATGACCACATGATCAAATGCCCAAGGGAGTTCATAGGAATATATATTGCCTAATACTTTCCCCATGGTTTCACTGCATTTGAAAGTACTTCCTTAAAGGTATGGAAACTGTTTTCGGAATGGCACCCTTGGGAGAAGGAATACATTTGACTTTAGTGGGTTTCCTTTTTATTTTTGAATTATTTGTCAGAAACGAGCAATAGTGAGTGAAATTTGCTTTTTTTAAAAAAAATACATGCACAAAAGACTATTGTTTAAAAATCAGTCTTTATTGTAGGAAAAGTCTTTGTGACTGAAGTTGCTAAATTAAAAGGGACAGCTACTCATGAATTTGGCTTTTTTACTATCCTCCTGTGAGATGGGGTGGGGAGGGCAAGGCTGGCCCAGAAAAGGAGTCAGAATCTGTGCAGGTTGTTAGCAATTCTGTTGTCTCCAGGTTTTCTGCACAAAGTAGCCAGGAACCAGCTTTGCCCAGAGTAAAAGAAATGCCAGATGCAGAGGGCTCCAAAATAAACAAGATACAGTCTTTTGGAGATAGACAGACACATGAAAAGGGCAGAGCGAGATGCAGGCCCAGGAAATGATGAGACTGGGTGAGGAAAGGCTGCCTGGAGGAGGCTCAAGTAAGTGTATTGTCAAGGATGAGTAAGAACTTGCCCAGATGTAAGGAGAACACAGAGAGAGTTCTGAACACATTTCCTACCAAAAATAGACATTTAAGTGGTTCTATTTAAAACTACACACATGTATAATTTATGGTTCTCTTTATTGATGCATGCACATAAATTATTTTATTAAATTACCTAACTACTAAAATAATTTAGTTATACATATTAAATGATGTTTTTGGCAATAAATTTAGAGCCAGCAATGTCAACATAGCAACACAGTGTATTACGTGCCGCATACGTTTGACTCATACACATCCTATTTATTTAGAATTAACAAGGATTGACCCCTGGTACTCAATGATGGCACTGTTGATGAGAAAATTCCATTCTTGCTGGCAACTACATTGGTTGAACATTTTTTGAAAGTTATATTTACATATTGTTTCAAACGTGAATCAGAGGTCAATAATCACTATTTCTCTAGGAAAAAGAAATATTATAGTTAAATATTTTTTTTTTTTGAGACAGAGTCTCGTTTTGTTGCACAGGCTAGAGTGAGTGCCATAGCATCAGCCTAGCTCACAGCAACTTCAAACTCCTGGGCTCAAGCAATCCTCCTGCCTCAGCCTCCCAAGTAGCTGGGACTACAGGCATGCGCCGCCATGCCCGGCTAATTTTTTCTATATATATTAGTTGGCCAATTAATTTCTTTCTATTTATGGTAGAGACGGGGTCTCACTCTTGCTCAGGCTGGTTTCGAACTCCTGACCTCAAGCAATCCTCCCGCCTCGGCCTCCCAGAGTGCTAGGATTACAGGCGTGAGCCACCGCGCCCGGCCTATAGTTAAATATTTTAATAGGAGTTTTTAAATCACAAGAAGTATTGGAATAAAAATGTGACATGTTTAAAAATCATCACCTGTACCAGTGATTTCAAATTTGTGCAGTCAGCTGAATAATGGCCCTCAAAGGGTCCTGGAGCCTATAATGTCATCGTATATGGAAACAGGGTCTTTGCAGCTGGGATTAAGCTAAGAATGTTGAGATAGGGAGATCCTCTTGGAATAAATGCATTTGTTAAGTGTCCTTGGAAGAGAGAGGCTGAGGGAGATTTGGTACAGATGGAAGAGGAGAAAGGTTATGTGACCACAGAGGCAGAGATTGGGGTGATGTGGCCACAAGCCAAGGCAAGCCAGCAGCCACCAGAAGGAGGAAGAGACGAGGAAGGGACTGTCTCCTAGGGCCTCTCGGGGGAGCAAGGAACTACCAACACCTTGATGTTGGCCCAGTGAAACTGGCAGCTACAAGAAACTAATAGATGCAGAAATTGCTTAAGACAGATAAATTGGTAAGCAGAGTCGCAAGTACCATTCCTGCATTTTTAGGTCTCCTTCGAGGCTAAACTGCTTTAAAGTGCTGTGGGTATTTACCCCATTCCCTCCTTCCTCTGTCTACTTCTGAACCCATTCCACTGACCTCTCTCACCAGTGTCCACCACATCACCAAACCGATGGTCACTTTTTGCCGTCCTTGTTGCTACAGTCGGAATCTTTGTGCCGCCTGCAAAATTCATATGTTGAAGTTCTAACCCCCAAGCTGATGGCGTTAGGAGGTAGGGCCTATGGGAAGTGACTAGGTCATGAAGGTGGAGCTCTCATGAATGGGGTTAGTGTCCTTTCAAGAAGAAATACAGAGGAGAGCCCTCACCTTTCTGCCAGGTGAGGACACAGTGAAACCGTCCTATCTATGAACCAGAAAGCCAGCCCTCCTCACCAGGAGCCCTCCTCACCAGGAGCCCTCCTCACCACGTCCAATCTGCCAGCACCTTGATCTTGACATCCCAGACTCCAGAACTGTGAAAAATAAATTTCTGTTGTTTATAAACCACCGATTTTGTGATATTATTGTTGTTTCAGCCAAAACGGACTAAGACAATTTATTAGGCCTCTTAGCTGTACTCAACACATGTAACCAATCTCTCCTCTGTTAAATTCTCCTTTCTCTCTGATCACTCCTTCCTCCTCTGTCTCCTTTGCCCATTATATTTCTCTATTACATGTTGAGGCTCCTAGAACTGCATATTTCTTTCCATCTACCCTCTCTTTTGTGGTCTCCTCCATTCTTGAGGCTGTCAATCATCCACAGGCCGAGAACCCCAATTGTGTGTTTCCAGTCTAAACCTCTCCTCCGAGCCTTAGGCTCATATATCCAACTTCCTACTGGACTCACCTTGCAGTTTCTCACAGGAGCATGACATGTTCAAAATCAAACTCTTTACTATACATATTCCGCCTTCAGTAAACTGTACCGTGAACTGACAATCTCAAACCCAAATCCGGCGGACTCTTTCCTGTGTGTTCTTTGACATTCAGTTCCTCAGCAAGTCCTGTCACATCCAGCCTTCTAACACATGCACTTCTCCACCGCTCAGCACCCTCGCCTGAGCCCCCATCAACATTTTTTCAAAATACCATATAAATGCTTCCTTCCTAATCTCTCAATTTCCGCTCTCGAACTACTCCAATATTTCCTATATGCAGCGACCCTTTAAAAAGAGGAATCTTTTAAAAACATAAATAGAATCATCTCCCTGCCCTATTAAAGGCCTTCAATACTTTCCTGTTTCACTGGGGATAAAGCCTAAACATTTGACCTTGACTATGACCCCCAGTGGTTTCTGTGATCTGGTCCAACCAGCTCGCCATCTTATCCTGAGCCACTCTGCCTGTGTCCACTGACACCAAAGCCAACTTTGAGCTCTGCGTACACAGAGCTGTGTGTGCCTCCTGGCCTTTGCCCTTGCTGATGTGTCCTTGTGCTCGTTACAGGTTAACTCACCTTACTCCTAGGGACCCAGATCCGCCCCTGCAACTCACCTCCAATTCCCACCATCCTTATCAGTGAGACCCCCTCCTTCTCTGCTTATCCATACGAACGAACTGTAATTTTGTTGTTTTGTCCTTTCCCACTAGGGTTTTAGTTCAATAAACATACACACTGTGTTCTGGCACCATCCGTACCAATAAATATTTATTAAATGAATGAAAATTCAAACCATTCTTTCCTCTTACAACTCTTCTGTCTCATATTCCCCGTGTTTCAAAAGTCCTCCCCACCTCATTCCTCCTAGCAGTTTTTCTCTCCCCGATTCCTCTTAGGATAGAGCTGGAATTTGTCTTGCCGTTTCCTCACGAACACACACGGCCTTCACATGTGCGTGCAAGGTAAAGAGGCTGGGTGGGAGGCTGTGTGTGTGCAAGCGTGCGTGTGCTGCAAGTGTGTGTGCAACTGCGTGTGTTGTACTGTGAGTGCACGAATGTGAGTGTGTAGTGAGTATGTGTTATGTGTGCATGCAAGTGTGAGTGTATGTGTGTGTCTGTGCGTTGTGTGTTGTGTGTAGTAAGTGTGCAAGTGTGTTGTGAGTGTATGTGTGTAGTGAATGTGTGTGTTTTTGACTGTACATGCGTGTAGTGAATGTATGTGTATGTGTGACTGTGTGTTACATGTGTTGTGTGTAGTGAATGTGTGTGAGTGTGTGTTGTGAGTGTATGTTTGTGTAGTGAATGTGTGTGTGTTGTGAGTGTATGTTGTAGTGAATGTATGTGTATGTGTGACTGTGTGTTACATGTGTTGTGTGTAGTGAATGTGTGTGAGTGTGTGTTGTGAGTGTATGTTTGTGTAGTGAATGTGTGTGTGTTGTGAGTGTATGTTTGTGTAGTGAATGTGTG